TTTTTGATGGAGAAACTGACTTTTTAAGAAAAATAAATTTTTTTCAACAAAACTTAGTCCCCTTAGTCCCCTTAGTCCCCTTAGTCCCCGTTTTTATAAGGAAGAGGAGACAAGGTACCAAAGAATTCTTGAATTCTGAATTTAAAGAATTTCTTAGTCCCCTTAGTCCCTTATTTCAATTTGAAATCAAGTGCTCTTTTTTTTTTAAAATTCAGATTGAAATCAAATAACCCATTGTATGCGAATTTGTGAAAAAAAATATACAAAAAAATGATGGAGCTGCCATTGTACATATGATTGATATACTCAGTGGTAAATCTTGTTTTAAAGTAAATATTCAGCGATGATAAAAAGAAATGATTCTAACATAACCTTTTGTTTTTTTATTAGAAAACACAAATGAAAAACTATTCATTAATAGAACTTCAAAAACAATATAAAATTTATAAATGTCTTCGTGATGCATATGATGAAAAAATAATTCAAATAGCGTTTAATGAAGGTAAATATTTTTTTTTGCTCAAGTTAAATTTATTCAATGTTTTTTATATATTAAAGGTATGTTGTTATCAGCTGGATTCTGGTCTTTATTACTTTATGGTAATGATACACAATATGAGTTGCAAATGGAGAAAATTATCGATAAGTTGTCGATTTCGACAACAGATTTATTTGACCGATCGATTAAACAACACTCTAAGTTAAAATGTGTCGGATACGTCGTGATTTACAACACATTTCACGACACATTCAAGCACGACACGAGGTGCTCGTTGCGACACATTTTCTCCAGCAAGCGTACGACCCATTATCCCACGACACATCTGACACATTCTGAAATCACGGTTCGAGTCTAGATTTCACCGTATCTATATAGGTTTTTCTTTCATGCATTATAGCCATCAATATTTAATTAGTACAATTAACATCAGTGTTTGATGCAGTACTGTAAAATAGCCAGACTTTGAGATCCAGCCATGTAAGGCTAGTCAGATCTTGGTCAGACTACTGCCAGGTAGACCTCTCCTAAAGCGAGGTCATTATTTCTCGAAATATTTACGAGAAATATATTATATAAAATGGTGCACGGAAACTAGTGATTCTCATGTGATGGTTCAGATCCATTATATATAGATAAACACGCGAAACAATATGGTGAATGAACAGTCGTCATATATGTACAGAACGGTTAAAAATGTGACACATTAAAGTGCGACACATTTTCTTGCTGCTACCCACGACACTATAATTCACGACGGAAAAAGTCGACACATTTTAACTTAGAGTGAATTTAAAGATGCTGCATTAGATAATACATCTCCATTTAAACCTTTATTAAAATTCGAAAAATATTTTATACAGTTAGCTAAAATTGGTGATTATGAACAAGAACATTTGAATGCGTCGATATTTGTACCTCTATCAGAGGCTTTGAAAGAACTTTTAAATGGTTTAATTCATCATTAAACTCAAAAGAGTCAAACTTTCTGATTGTTGTTTTTTTTTCTGTGTTTTTTTTCTCTTTCTGTATTTTTTTGTTTCTTTTACATGATAATCAATAAAAACATTTGATATTCTATGACATCATGAAAATGATGGTATAGCCAAACTGTTTCTTTTTGTTAATTTTTGTTTAAAAAAAAACATAGAATGTGATTTTTTTATCGTTTATAGTCATAGAAGTATTTTATTTTTCTGCTTTTTTTTTCCTCAGTTTGATAATCTTTTTTCAATCAAATAACTTAGAAGGTTTCTTAAATATTCAAAATTCAGTTTCGCCTTTTTTTTTCTTCTACTGGATAATAACTATGAACATGAGTATAATAGATTATTCGAGTATTTTCGTTTATTTGCTAATCAATCATAAGAAAAAAATCTAATGAGAAAAATATTAGTGAAACTATAGATAAATTGTAACCTACAAGATCTACTAGTATTTTGTTCCATCAACAGTATAATCAAAATGACCAAATAGATCATGATCAATAAAAAACACAGTACGAAATAGATTTCTAGTAAAACATGACCGGAAATGAAAGCATGTGGAACTTGTCGTGACACATCTTTTTTTTTTTGATTTGATACCATCGACAAAACGAATAAAAGTCAAACGAAAGCGGAATGCCATTCTCATTCTATTGCTTTCTTTTTTCTGCTTGAATAATCAATTTCTACAGTTTTTCAATAAAATATCACCTTCTCATGAAGATAACATCAGACACATATAGAAATCTCTATTTTAAAACTACGAAAATGTTTTTATGATTTGGTTTTTTTCTCTCTCTCTCTCTCACTATGTATATATATATATATATATATATATGAGTGAATTGCAACTTTTTGGTAAGATTGAAATTTTAGCTGTATTTCGCTAATAACTTTTTCTATGCTGAACCGATTTAGACCAATTTTTTATATGTTATTGATCTTTGAGTGTCCCACTGCCACAGAAAATTTCAGCTCTCTAACTCATACATCTGCTGAGTTATCAGCCCTTTACTGCCACAAATTCTTATTTTACAGAAAGATGTATTAAGAGAAGGATATTTTTTATATATAAGGAAAAAGGGAAAAAATATAATGAATAGTCTATTTTGTACAGCTTGAAATGCTCTATCAAATGGTATATCTTTTATATGTTTTTTCTTTTCTTTTCACACCCATTCGCCCCAAATATTGAATTATACACACTTTGTTATTTTTGTGTAGAACGACCTTATCGTTTAATTTACTTTGTCTGCGTGAAAGTGGAAGAGAAGCGAAGATAGGCAAAAGAAAGACAACTGAAATAGTAACAAAATGATAAAAAAAAGATTCTTCTAAATGAGTTTTTTTGGATGAAAACAAATCCATTATTTTCTAAAAATTCGAGTTTCACTCACTTTGTAGAACGACTTTTTGAAAAGTATATTGTAAATAACTGCTGAACGGATTGGTTGTTTTCGCTCAAATTTTTACCGAAGATGTAGTTCTAAAAGTTACATAAGCACTCAAAAATTCAGCGGTCTATCTCATATTGTTCCTGAGAAATTTACAATATACGATAAAATGTAGAACGACCTTTTTTTTAAAAAGTGTAGAACGACTTTTTGAAATTTACTTTATAAATAACTTCTGAATGGTTCATTTGTTTTCGTTCAAATTTTTACTGTAGACATATTTCTCAGAGTTCTATACCCAGTAAAAAATTCAGCCCCCAATCTCTTATCATGCTTGAGATATTTACATTACATTATGAGCTGTAGAAGGACATTTTTTATTAAAACAACGGTTTTTATAGTACATTTACATTAACATATATCGTATCTCAGCTAATATGTGGTAAAGTGTTGGGAAACTTTTGCTGTGTAATATAGGCATAGAGTCTAATAAAAGGCACTGCTCAGACATTGTTTAGATCTACTTTCAATTTTTTGCACCAATCGTACCAAAAAGTTGCAATTCACTCATATATATATATATGCATAATTAATCGAAACGATGAAGAAGAAGTAATTGAATACTAATTGTATGACGCATATCGTAATGAGTCCACAACATTTTTTTAATTCTTTTTCATACACACGTACACATAAAAAGAGCGAGAATGAACGAATACAACATACAACATGAGAAAAAAAGAAAGTAATATTTGCACGGCTCACTGGGAACAGCTCCATGTTCGAGTAATACTTCGTGTCCATCATTTGTAATATGTGCTGGTGTATTTGGATCATCAACCAATTTAATTAAATCGACTATTTCACCTTTTTCATAGGGTATTTCCAAAAAACTATCACTTTGTTTTTATGATGGTGATTGAGCAGGGGATGTTTCTTTACCATATATACTTGGAGAAGAAGTATGAATTGATGGAGTTTCTTCAGTATCCGATGTTGATTGTTGTTGTGCTTGATGATTGGAAAAGTCAGTTGTGGGTGTACTTAAAATGATTGATGAAGGATCAGCATCAATTGAAAAACGTTTGGCAATTGGATGTACAGGATGATGACGTTCGAAACTTGATTGAGTAGAAAGAATTTTCGTTAATTTTTTTGTTGCTGTTCCACTTGAAGAAGAAATATCAGTAGCCGGAAGTACTGAAGAAGTCGGAGAAGGACGAGAATCACTTGTATCACTGGTCGGCTTGTCATCAGAAATGATTAATGTTAGTGCTGCCGAGGAAGAGGAAGAAGATGCCATTTAAATTATTCGTCTATAAACAAGAACGACACAACTTAATCGATTTGTTTTTAATGAACAAAGAGAGGTTGTTTTAATTTTCTTGTATTAACTCGTTTGGTAGTTCTACTTGAATCAATTGATGACTAAGAAACAAGAAAAAAAAGAAACCTCTTATACTATTTCTTTTTTTTCATTTCTATTCATGCGAACCGAAATGAAATTGCACTATAAAACACTAAAATTATGCCTTTAGAATGTAAAAAGTACATAATATAAAATACTATTTTATGAATCAAACAATATTATGATACAATTTACCTCGATATTGCCAGTTTTAAAATGTTTTGTTTTTTTACGTAAATATTAGTGAACAAGTAAACGAGAAAAAAAAGCCGTCAGATGAGGGACAACAAAAACGACAACGTCATCATTCTCTATAACTCACGTATGCGCAAGTAGTATGGAGAACACAAAAGAGAATGATAGACAGAGAGAGAAGACGAAGATCGATGACGACAACAAAAGAAAGATCCTATTATATCAATCCGTTTCTGTAGCGATACAGCTGGATTAGTAGTAATTTATTTCCGACTAAATCTACCTAAGTTATTTTGCAACAAAAAAAGCATCCTTTTATACAGCACACAAACCTATACATTCACGCAAGCGAAAACAAATGAAAAGGAAAAACACAAAGAGAGAGAAAGCAAACTAGGCATAGAGTAGAACAAGAATGAATGGGGTTTACTATTATATTTGAAAATTGGTTAACATTATACAAAAAAAAAACGACAATATCATACATCTGTTTCCAACCGTATTAATACAGAAAAAAAATAGAACAATAAAGAATGTAAGAATTTCAATGATTTTCATGAATAAAGAAAAGAAAGGACCTAAACATGACCAACACACTAAAATAAGTAATTCATTGGAAAGAAAAAGAAAACAAATGAAAAAAAGAATGTACACACGAACACCAACAAGTATGCATATATAGAATTGGGGATATACTTTGTTTGGACGCTTTCTAACAGATATGGATCAATTCTGATCAAAAGCGTATCATAATTTTGTAGAATTGAACATAAATCATTAATTTTACAAATTGTCATCAACAACCCTTGTATTTTTTTTGTTGATAATTAATTCAGAGAAAAAGATGATGAAACAATCAGTTCATACTTAAAAAAAAATTTTTTTCAATGACTGATCTTCAAATAGGATTGGATAGTTTGATGAACCGTTAGAAATTATCAATAGTGTACATTACCGAGTGAAACAGAGGTTTCGCCAAACAAAAAAAAAAGAAATGTAAGAGAAAAATGGTGTTTTAAAACAGTTGAAATATGAAATCGATTTCTTTCATATTTTCTCAATAATATATAGATAATGTCTCGTAGTTTGCCTTATTGTCTTGAATGTTTTGAAAAATGTCTACAAGCTCAAGATGATGCACTTAGTTCAACATTTTTTATTCTAAGACAAACAGGTCCAACAGCTTTTGTTATTAAAGAAGATGATGAACGAATATTTAAAGTATTTATAATAAATAGAGTTTTGATTACATAGACATATCATGTTCATTAGGTGTTTTTGGGTGATCAACATCAATGTACTTGTAATGTATTTCAACGAGATCGAGACTTATGCAAACATCTTTGTTGGCTTCTATTAAAACGATTTCGTGTATCAAGAACTAATCCAAGTAAATAATATGAATATTGACAAGATACTTTTATAACTATATATATATAAATATATTTAGTGCTTTGACAAAAAGGTCTTGTCGAACGAGAAATCAATGAACTTCTACGTGGTTTAGCACGAGAAGATGAAACGAAACAAAACAAAGCATACACAAAAACTAAAAGTAAAAAAACCAAGAAAATCTTTATACACTGTTTTAATTAAAAAGTTTCCATACGAATTTTTTTCTATCTTTTGAAAATATCATCTTAATAGTTATTTTATTGTATGGAAAGATTTAAGTCATCTGTACAAATTTTTTCCTAGAATGTACGATGGAAAAGAATTGAGAGAAAACAAACTTTGATACTTATTGATATGATCTTACTATTTCTAGTTATAGACAATTATCTGATTCGGTAGACTTTTCGCTAATGTAAATGTAGGATAGTAAAATATGTTTTTAAAGATATTGTCATTTTGAATTTGATAGTAATTAAGTAGTTAATTCAAATGAAACAAAAATTAATTTTTTCATTTAACAATAAAAGAACAAAGTATAGTGTAGAACTCTCTTGGGATTATTCATAGATCATTTGTATTTCATATTTACATAATTGATGAATCAAAACTATGTTCTTATTGTAAATGAAAACATTTTTTTAAAGACAATAAAAAAAATTGTAAATTTTTACATTTCAGAATGATGATGGAAATGATGATGGTAGTGACGTTGAACAACGATCAATCAATGAAAATGATGTATGTTCTATATGTCAAGAAGAATTTTTAATTAAGAAATTACCAATTACTTATTGCCGGTTTGATACAAAATTTAAAGTTAGAAATTAATTCAATATTTGATTTTTTTTTTCGTTTTTCTCAGACATGGTTGTGGTAATAATGTTCATGTTAAATGTATGAAAGTATGGCTTGATCATCAAGTATCAACAGGTGAAAAAACAGTTAAATGTCCATTATGTCGAGAAACATTTGGTACACCTGAACAACTTAAACAAGAATTTCGGTATAAAAATTTCAATTCTGTTTTTTGTTGTTAAAAACAAAATTTAATATTTTCTATTTTAAGTATAAGTGGTGCTCAACAAGCTGAAAAATCATCTATTCATTTAGGTTATTCATGTCATCGTTGTCGTGCATGTCCAATTACAGACAAATGTTATAAATGTACGATATGTCATGATTATTTTCTTTGTCAAACATGTTTTAATTTAAATATACATAATGAACATAATTTTGATTATCGAGAAGTACTAAAAAAAACCAATAGATTTTTATTTTGTTTTCGTAATTTAATAAATCAATTTGATTTTATTTAGAAATCATTTCAATGTTGGAAATCAGCAACACGAGAACATTTAAATGCATTACCTAGTGCACTTCGTCAAATGTTAGCAAATAGAGAAATTACCGAAAATGATTATGATATTCTTCTTCAACTCGATAAGTAATTAATGCATTGAAATGTTTTCTTTGCTTTTTCTTTTATTTTTTTTATTTTTTGTAATCAAGTGCTCAAAATGCAGCAATTATGGGTATACCAGAAAATGTTGTTAAATCAATGCCAACTGAACGTGTACATGAACGAAGTCGTTTATTACAACATGGTGAACAATGTCGTTTATGTTTAAGATCTTATCAAATAGGTGACGTGTTCGACGTTTACCATGTCGACATAAATTTCATATTGATTGCATTGGTAAATTAAAGAAACAAACAGAAGTTATTTCGATTTATTTGTTATTTTTTTGCTATGTAGATGGATGGCTTTTACATAGTCATCCAACATGTCCAATTGATGGTCAACTGGTATGAAGTGTTGAAATGGAAAATGAACAAAGAGAAGCAAAACGGTAAAATTTAAAGAAAAAAGAAAAAGAAGTTTTTTCTTTTCATTCAATATTAAATATATAGTGGCAGATGAAAGTTTAGAGCAGTTATATTTTTAAGTTTTCTTCTCGATAGTAATAGTTAGCAAGAATCTGAGAAAATATTTATGTAACTGAAAGGATTCTCTCAACTACGGTTGATAGGCTTGAAGACTCGAATAAAACTACTTGAATGAGGATCTGTGAAAAATCAAGACTCTAAAATCAGCTTTCTTGTTTTTTATTCGAAACTTCTGTGAAAAGATTTTATTTGGTAGAGCAAATAATTTCAAGTAAAATAAAACATCTCCGATCTTTCCACGATTTTCTTTCACCGAACTATATTCCATTTACAGTTGTTCTATCAAATAAAATCTTTTCCTAAAAGCTTTGAAAGAAAGTCAGAAAGCTGTTTTGGAGTCTTGGTTTTCTGCAGACCTTCATCCAAGCAGTTTTGCTGAAGTTTTCAGACCTAAGAGAAACCTTTCAGCTACACAAATGTTTTTTGAGATTCTTGTTAGCTATTACTATCGAGAAGAAAACTTAAATATCTTTTGTCGGTCACTATAGTTCGGCTCTTGTTGCTATTCGACATTCAACAAAACATGTACCGTCTTCTGGCTCATCTTTACTGTCAGTTGATATGGGTTTATCTATAACTCCTAATCAAATACGACCACTTAATATACCAACAACGACTGATTTAAATCAACGATTTCGACGTCTTCATATGCATGCACCACTTCGTCCATTAATAGCACCAACAACGAATGAATTTCCATCATCTCTTGAAATAAATGCTTATAGTTTAGGAAATCGACAATTATCAATGAATAATGAAGAACGACGACAATCATTATTATCATCACCCTCATTAGTAAGAGAAGAAATTCGACGAGTAAATATTGAATTTAATCAAGATTTTACATTACCACCAACTATTATTGGTCGTCGATTACTTGAACGTAGACGCTCAAATGCTGAATAATGTGTTTGCTCACATTTAGAATTTATTGTATAAGACAGATATATATATATATTTTTTGGTTATTATTTTTATTTTTCTTCTTTGGAATATTGCACATTTGTATTTGAAAAAATATGAAATATTGATAAAGTTCAGACGAATTGATCGAAATTTCATCAAAGAAAAATCTATCGAACCATTAATCTACTTCAATTTCCAGAGAATATATAAGTTTATATTGATACATTAACTTTAATGGAAATCATTCAATAAACTAAATGCTAATGATTGATATTGGGTTTTCATGATTTGTTTGTTTCTATTTATATATTCAAAATAGAAAAAAAAATTATTTCTTTCGTTGGCAGCTTTCAATGGCAACAAAAATAATAATTCTTGATGATCACTTGACTTTTATTTGTAGAAACTTTTTTATTTATTTATTTATCTATGGTTTTAATTGTAAGTAACCTGTTTTAACATGATCATCACATTTCACAGCTGCTTCATCAGCTGTTTTTGATTCACTACCAACTTGTCGACCAATTTCATTATTTTTTAAATCCATAATACGTTCATTAAGTGGTACTTCTGTATTATTATCTTCATGAAGATCAGCAACTTTCTTTGCTTGATCACGACCAATACTAATTGTCATTAAAGCATTCCAATAGCAATGACGAAAAGCGTCACCAATACCATTATGTAATGTATCTGTTGGATATCTATTTCGAGCTTCAGCACCAGCATTATCTGCATTAGTTTTAGCTTTAACATAATCGAATGGACCAACAAGAAATATACATTTGATATCTTCTGTTAATACTGATCTAATTATAATCATTATAAAACAATTAAGAAAAAAAATCATCACGAACTAAATGAATTTTACTCTCGTGGTTCATCCCATGATTTATCAATGACGGGTGAAGATGGTGCTGCTTGGACACAA